GCTACTCTCTTAATTCAATGAATAGAAAGATTTGTTCTAATAGTGTTTGTGGACAGGATATCATGTCTGCATCTTGTACAATGAATAACCACTAAGACAACAATATGCAATGCATTAAATATTGAAACTGTGCTAGTAATCAGATTTGAAAATGTCTCATTGATATTTGTTTCTCAATAAAATTATTTTAAAAAGAAAAAAAAAGAGGCAGCATTTTTAATAAAGTCTAGACAGCTAACCCATAAATATCTATCAAGATCAGAAGCAAGTCACTCCACACCTTAGAAACTCCACATATATCCCTGGAGAATGTTGCTTTCTTACATGTTACCTTTTATTCTTCCATGGAATCATTTATAACATCCAAATCAGCAACACAAATTAGGCCTACGTCCTCCGATGTTGAACTTCACAGCAAATAAAGTGGAGTCACTTTCTGCACCTATTGCTTGTGTCAGGATTGCTGGAAACATTAGCTGCAGGACAGTCTTAACACACTTATGCATGCTATATATTATTTTCTATTGATTAAAACACTGTAACATATCAAGCATTGATAGACAGATAGATTGTTTATAAGCCTTATGAATCCCTGAATGGCCTCTTACAACTGGTAATCACCAGAGGCCACAACAGACAGACTCAGAGAATCTTCTTAATTATCTAATTAAATTAGAAGGTGTTGTTGTCTCACTGTGAAGCCTTATCAAGACACAGGCAAATGGAGAGAACCAGCCAAGCAAGTCCAGGGAAGATGTCCTGGGCCCTTTAGCCAAGAACAATTACTGGCTAACCTCCTTGACAAGAATAAAAGAGGGCTCAGTAGAATAAGCACTTGCCTGGCAAGCTCAAGGTCCTGAGTTCAATCCCTGGTTCCGCCAAAAAAAAAAAAGAATAAAAGATAGTCTTGACAGAATTTCCTACACTGGAGAAAACAATGTGAGTAGGAATTATACACACATTCTAATAAGGAAATATGAAACTAGTATCTATATTATTATGTGGACAAGGAAAAAGATTACATATCAAACAAACAAAGAAAAAAAAAATTCCTGGATCAATGAACACACATTTGCCAGATGCTTCTTACTATAAGACCCTGTATTAAATTATAAAAATTGCTCATATATGTCAAAAGTTCTTATGGAATGTTAACTATAGGCCAGACCCTCTGTTATGAACTAGGAATGAATAAGATAGAAAAAACTCAGAGGCTCACACCCAAAACCATCTGTGAGGGTGGAGGCCCCCAGGAATACATTGAAAGAAAGCCAGCTCTATCCGTTTCCTAGGGCAGCCACATAAACTGTTACAAACTTGGCGGTTTAAAAACAACAGAACATTTTCTCAGAGTTCTGGAAACCTTAAGTCCAAACAATGAAGGTGTCCTTGGCGCTACCAGCTCCTGGTGGCTTCCAACAACCTTCACTGTTCCTTGGTTTGTAACTTGTCGCTCTGCTCTCTGCCTCTCTCTCCCTCTCTCTCGGCTGTAACAACACATCACCTTGTGTTGCTCACTGTTCTGGAGACTAGAACCCCAAAATCAAGTCACTGGCGGCTCTGCTCTTTGGTGAAGGCTTGCATGTGCTGGCCCCTGGGGGCCTGAAGTACAGAAGAATAAATTGAAAATTATTTTCAAGTCTGAAGCTGTCAGACCGGATGCCTTGCTACGTTTCACCTGCTTGGCTCTTCCTTGTCTTTTTATCCTCCTTTTAGAACAGGAAGTTCACCAGACTGGATGTACCTCAGTCCCACTCATCTCATTTAGATGACACTTTGGCGGTTAGGCTTTATTAGACATGATGTCAGGCTGCAGTGGTGGAATGAGCATATGTGGCCTGTATTTTGGAGTCAGGAAGACAACGTCATGGACCAAATGTCATGCGCTCCCACCGGTCCTACACTGAAGCTCTAATCCTCAATAGACCATGTTTGAAGGCGGAGTCTCGGGAGGAAACCAAAGTAGGGTAGAGCCTTTATACAGCACTTGCCCTCTTCCAGAGTGAGAGGCAGAGAGAGGTCTTCTTCTCCTTTTCTTTCTCCTGCTGTCTCCGGAAATAGGCGGCTCCCCAGGCCTAAACCTGGCTGAGTCCTCAGTGACTTCCGGCCTCCAGAGCTGTGATAAATAATCGTTTGCTGTCTAAGTCACCCAGTGGGGTTCTTGTAATAGCAGCCTGAACTGAATAAAACCAGTAGCCAACTTTTTGCTTCGTCTGCTTATGTTTTTGGTGTTAGAAATACACTATTTAAGGCAATGGAAATACGAATTATTTACACATTTTAGTTTTACGTGGCTTGTAAAACTGAAAGCACACAGACAGGTTTGTCATGTGCTTTTCTACTGACACAAGCAGCTCAGATGACTGTTTACCTTCAAATAAATATAACAGGAGAACTACCATTTTCTTTTTTTTTTTTTTTTTTTTTTTTTTTTTTGTGATACCAGGGATTGAACTCAGGACCCTGTGCTTGCTAGGCAAGCACTTATTCTACTGAGCTATCTCCCTGGCCTGAGAACTACCATTTTCTATAAGCAGATAAGCCAAATCAGTATCAGTATTTTAGCATTTATTGAACTAAGGAAATAATCTCTATAGTGCCTCATACTTAAAATCAGTTTAAACTAAAGCTAAATTCCAGGGAGACACAGATATTGAAATAATTATTGTGTGACATTTCTGTTGTCATTGTTTTATAATTACTTTGCTCAATAACAGCATTTGAATAAACTCAAGATGTTAAAAATATAGGGGGCCGGGGAGATAGCTCAGTAGATTAAGCACTTCCCTGGCAAGTGTAAGGGCCTGAGTTCAATCCCCAGTTCCACAAAAATAAAATAAAATTAAATTAAATTAAAATAAAAATTTTGGAGAGCCTGCCCCTTAGCTCAGTTCTTAAAGTGGCTGCTTCAACAAAGCAGTCAGGCTCAGGTTGCTCTGGTTCATTCCCACAACTCAAGCCAGCCAAACCTGCCCTGAAGGCATTCGGTGCCAAAAAAAAAAAAAAAAAAAAAAAAAAAAACTTAAAAATATAAATGGTCTTTGGCTTGACTATTAGTTAACCTACAATTCAATTTTTCTATGATTTACTTTAAAAACAGGCTTTTACTAAGTGGTCCACACTGGCTTCAAACTCACAGCAATCCTCCTGCTTCAGCCTCCTGAGTGCTAGGACAGCAGGCATGTACCGCTGCACCTGGCAGTTTTTCTCTGAGTTTTTTACTTTGTATTCGTGCAAAAGCAATATATACATAGCAGAAACTATACTCTGCATTTGGTCTTCTAATGTTTACACAGGCTGAATGTGCCACTTGATCATCTCTAGTGACAGCAAGCCCTGGCACTCAGTCCCAGCCCTGTCAGTCACCCGACAGCGAGGACAAACCCACACCTTACAGTGGACTGAGTTGTAAGCCAGGATGTTCAGTGGGTTCCATGAGCTAAAGTATTTTTAATTTATGATATTTTCAGCTTATAAAACTTAGCTGGATGTAACCTCATCATAAAAGAAGAAGCATCTGTTACAGAAATCCTGTAGGTTGCTTTTGAGAGTCCTCAAATTACAACAGAAGAACATTTTTATGTAAGCACACAGGCTAAGAAAAAGCAGTAACAAAAATGCCCACATACCCAATAGTCATGCAGCAAGTTCGGCTGAACCGTAATGATATGCATCAGAAAGACTTCCCAAGTAGTTTCCTGAGTGATTCTTGCCAACATCCTAACTCTATATGGATTAACTGCAAACTTCATCAACGATACAAAATTAACATGGCACAATAATAATCACCCAGAATGCTATCTTCAAGTGAAGGCTATTTCTTTTTCTAATAACTTGGAGTTATAGATAAAATGAGATTTCTTCAAATTTCAGTGATTTTTTTCCCCAAAGTTTTATTTAGATATTATCGTCATTGTTAGTTAGACTGGGTTAAGCCCCAGCCTAACCCTTGTCAGCTAAGTAAATCTGGACAAGAGTTTTAACTTCTCCAAATCCTCGTTTCTTCTTCTACAACATAAACATGGTCATGCTCACAATGAAAGATGGTTAGGATGAAGAAATAACGTTCGTGAAGGTAGCACTATGCACGCGGCCACTACTCACTAAGAGAAAGCAACTATCATTACTATGACTGAGATTTTATTAACTAACCTGTTGGCTTACTAATTTCATAACCTCACTTTTAAATTGGTATATGTCAGAAGACGATCCTATAATGTCAATGTGTGTCCTATAAAAATTAATCAGAACTTTATTGTATTTTGAACAGAGCTGTTCACAAGCCTGTTCAATATTCCTTTTCTCGCTGTTTTTCTTTCCTCCAAAAGTCAAAGTCTCTTTTCTGAGCTCGAAGGACAGGCTCTGGGACCACTCCTCCAAGAGTTCTCTCACGTGCTGTACTCTGCTCGGCTGAGAACCAGCTCCAGCACTTTTCAGCCAAATGGTGCTGACCTCCCCGTCCACGCGCTCCCGGCTCAGAACGTGGAACTTTCTGAGCGTGCTTTCGTAAATTCTGCACTTCCGTTTCAAGTAGAGGAAAACGTCTGTGTCGAGCACAAGCACTTGTCCCCTCCCAGCAGGCTCAGGCACTGAGGACCTCAGCGGCTCCACCGCGGTATCACTTCTCTGCACACTTTTCTTGGAGCTCTGTCTAGTCCCCGTTCTCCCCTTACTGATAATTGTTTTGTTTTTGTCTGGCAGAGAACTTGCTTTTGATAGCAAACACTCGTTGAGCCTTTTGATAGCCAGAAACGATCCTTCCACAGAGAGTGTTCCGCGGGGTCCCAAAGGACTGAAGCTTAAATTTGGGATTTTCTTTTTCAGGTCCATGACCAGGCTTTCTAATACAATTTGACTCCGAAAAACAGAAAGATCAAGGATAGCCCTTACGGAGTTGAAGACCTAGCATCAAAAAAATTTAAAAAAAAAAAAAAAAGCAATTAATACAGCACTGCCTGATGAAGCAGAAAACACAAATTCTTTTTCTGGCACTTTCCTGCCTCCACTGCGGTTGCCCTAAACCAGACCGTAAGGGCCATAGGCAGACTGCGGCTCCTTGCTCCTGCACGGCCCATGCACGAGGCCCACAGGACCGGGTGTGCAGTGCACGGTCCCTCAGCACCACTCCCCAAGTGGAAGCAGGCAAATAACGTTTTAGAGGTTAAATGGCGAAAGCTCGTACAGAGCCCGGGTCTCTGCACTGTGCTGGCTCGGCTGCAGAGAGGTCCCCTTGAAGCAGCCCCTCCTTCCCCTCCCCGCTTCGGGTTGCTCACACAGTTGCACAGAGCCCCGTGTTTTCTATAGAATACAGTGCAGAAACCAGTACAGGTACTTTGAATTTTTTTTCAGGTCATTTTCTTCATTCGCACATGTAGTACAGAATGTCCCATTTTCTACCTTTCTTGCATATTCACACTCCTTTGCAATATGTACCTAATTTTCCCCCCACACAAGTCCTTAGGTAGGTACCTGACCTCATCCATGACAGCACAAAGAGAAAGCAACTACTAGCATTACTATGACTGAGATTTTATTAACTAACCTTAAGGTTTACTGATTTCACAACCTCACTTTTAAATTAGTATATATCAAGACGACCCTATAACGTCAATGTGTGTCCTATAAAAATTAATCAGAACTCTACTGTATTTTGAACAGAGCTGTTCACAAGCCTGTTCAATATTCCTTCCCACTAAAGGCATCAAGTGGGGCACAGAGAACTTAAATACACAAGCAAAACTTCTTGAAGCAGACTTGGCCTTGAGTGTTGAGTCAGGTTAGAGCCTGCACCTTCTTTCCTAGGGGTCCCAGGTGAGAATGCTTTGTATTTCCCAGCAAAGGAAAGACGGGGCCCAGGCCACCACCACCCCTGCCACAACCTTACCTTTTCACTAAAGCGAGAGACCGTGAGCTGAGCGTATAAAGCCTTCTTTGCTAGATGGTATTTCCTTTGTCTGACGACATTCTCTGCAACTATAGAGCAACAACATCAAGTGTTTGTGACCCTTACAAAATGTTTGTAGTATATTACTAATTAATTTAAAATATAGGTGTTGGGGGCTGGGGAGATAGTTCAGCGGCACACGTGCCTGCCGGGCAAGCCCAAGGTTACAAGTTTGATTTCCAGTACCAAAAAAAAAAAAAAAAAAGATTTCTCTTAAAATATAGGTGTTAATTCTATTGTTTAGAAATGCTGAGCTTTTTCTCTAAATTCCACATTTAAATAACCAATGCACTTTAATACATTGAAATTCACTTTTGAGTTAATATAACCCTGGTCATATTATTAATCCCAGCCTCCCAAGAGCTGGGATTACAGTCATGCATGACCACGCCCTGTCTCAATTGCCTTCTCAGTGCGCCCTGGGGATGGCGCTGGCATGGCAGGCCCAGGGATTGAACCCCTAGCCCCATTTTAATCCTCTGAGCTATTTGGCCGGCCCTTTAAAATCACTTTGAATAATTACTCTAAATCAAGTGTGCAGTTGTGCAGTCACTAGTTGTGACCATAGTTGTGTTGACCTGTAAACCCAACTACTGAATGGGTGGGTGGGCTGTGGCTGAAGGATCAATAGTTTGAGGCCAACCTGGGTAACATAGGGAGATCCTGTCACAAAATAAAATTAATACAAAAGGACTAAGGAGGTAGATCAGGGGTGGAATGATGCTTGCCTCATGTGTGTGAAGTCCTGAGCTCAGTCTTGAGCGCCACCAACAGAACTTAAATGATATTAATTCTATGAATATTTTTTCCATTTATTTATTTATTTATTTATTTATTTATTTATTTTTGTAGTACCAGGGATTGAACTGAGGACCTTGCACTTGCCAGGCAAGTGCTTATTCTACTGAGTTATCTCCCTGGCCCTCTATGAATAATTTTAACAAAAGATGGGGGGTTGTTTGCTTTTGAGACAGGCTCTTGTTCTATAGTTTAGGCTGGCCTTGCATGCACTAAGTAACCCAGACTATCCTCAAACTCTTGGTAGTCCTCCTGTCTCAGCCTCCCTAGTGCCAGATCACAGATATGCTGAACAAATATAACTTTAATTTCATTGAAAAAATATTTCTAAGAGTATAAAAATTTGACTTGGAAATACCTTTTTTTTCTTTGAATATTACATACACATCTCCTTTGGTTCTTGTTGGGTATATAACACCTTCAACTTCTCCACCCACCGTCTTCACATTCTGGAAGTAACTCTTCACCAGAGTGGCCACCTGGCGATCACTGAAAAGGCCAACGGGAAGGCCGGCAACAATGACTGTTCTCTCAGAAGCTTCGCATTCCTTCACATTCAAAACTGATGCCTGCCAGAGAAACAGGAGGAAACTCTCTAAAATCTATCAGACTAATACAAGTGGCATTGGGTACCAGGGAAAGAGGGTGTTTTATTCTCTTTCAAAGGTAACAGACATTTTGTTGAAAGGAGTAAATATTTGTCTCATATCAGCAGTAACATAAATTTTAGCCAAGCCCAAGAATCAAACACAAAAATGTATCTTTTTTCAAAAAGTGGAAAATATTATTTAGTTTTATTTTAGAAAGGCCTAAACATAATAGAGAATGTCACCAAAAAAAGACTGAGAGACAGAAATTTTTCAAATGTAAAAAGCGCCCAACTAGTTGCAAAACATAGTCGTTTGGAGGCTGCTGTATATTCTCTGGATTGTAGAGTCCAACGAACATAAGCCAATAAGAAATGTGGTCCTTTTATTGACTGTGAGAATCAAGTAAAAGCCATCACCAAAAAATAAAACCTGTGCACTAGAAGAGGTTGTAGTGGATGAAACCCCGCCTCCCAACATGTACCTAAGCTGAGATTCAACCAGAGATGCATGCTACTGCCCGTGCTGCCACCATGCTGACAGAGGACCAACAGCCAGGCCCTTCCTGGGCTCTCTTCAAACTTGAATTCTTCACTTAAAGGGTTTCTGTTCAAATGCTTTCATTTTCCTCACAGTCTTATTTAGAGAAGTAGACGGCCATAGTTTGGAGTTTTGCAAGGGGGAGGGATTTATTAGAGGAGAGACAGAGAATTTCTGAGAGACAGAAATTTAGCTTATAGAATTAATTGATAATACTCACCAGAAGAGTCATATACAAAATGAGTACAGGAAATTTGTCCACACACTAAGGACCAAAGAATCCAGCTGAGAGCCTAGATCTCATAGTGATGTGCTGTTTGAGTCCAGCTGAAGACCTAGAGCCCGTAACAATGTCTCTCACATGTCCACCTGGAGGCCTAGAGCCTACATCAATGTCTCATGCAGGCCCGTTTCACAGATCTGTGCTGGGTAGGCCCAAAGGTCAGTGGTGGAAGCTAGAAAGTTGGTGCTAGCGGGATGAAGGTTCTGTGCTAGCAGACTGAGGGATCTGCACTGGAGTCAGCAAGCGATGTGCAAAGTAAAACCAGAGCTCCCCTGAAAAGGGAGTATCACAGCCATCCTCAGCAGCAGTAGGTCTTGAGCTCCTCCAATGATGAAAACAACCAAGTTGTCATCAGGAAAGCCAACCTGATAAACTTCTCCAGGGGACTGAGCTGTGTACCATCTTCTCCTCCAGAGCCAGGAAGCAATGCTCAAAGTGAGGGACACAGCTCCCAAAAGTGAACTGTAACTATTCTCAGTGACAATGAGGTCCTGAGCTCCTTCAACAATAAGAACAGCGGAGTTTGTCAAGAAAGCCAGAATGGCAAGCTCCTCCAAGAGAACCAACAGCTCCCAACAGCTTCTACAGCCTAACAGCGCCTAACAGCTCCCAGCAGCTTCTCCACAGCTTCCCCACAGTCCTTCTCCCCTTCTTCTCCAGTTCTGACTTATGCTGCCTGTGGCAATCCTCAGTGGGCCTCCCACACTGGATCAGTTCACCTGGGTGTTACAAGCTGATCACCAGTTGCCAACCCACCACAATCCACCCTTTGTCAACTTGATAACCATACATATTTCCTTAACCATAGTCTCTAGGGGAAGATTTATGAAAACTTAAACATGTCTTGGTCTGTTCATATTTACAGGGGGCCTGTGGTTTAGCTCAGTTGTTTAAGCACCTGCTTGGGCAAACCCAGTCAGGTGCAGGGGATCACAGTTCAATCCCCAGCTCCACATACCTTATGAGACCAGCATTTAAGGCAGCATGAGCCCACCAAAAAAAAAAATCCTTCTCAAATTTACATTAATTTGGGCCACTGAGATAGCTCAGTGGACTAAGCATTTGCTTAAGCAAGCACAGGGACTAGAATTCGACCCCTGGCATCACATGTTGTTGCACTGGCCCCCCGCCCCCAAGGCACACTGAACTGGCCACCAAACTGGGCGTGGTAGCACAAACCTATAATCCCAGCACTGGGGAGGCTCAAAACAGGAGGATCACTATGAGTTCAAGCTGCATAGTGAGACCTTGTACCAAATATAGTTTTTTTAATTACGTTAATTTAACACATTTGTCATTGCACTTATTTCTGCACCAAAAACAAAATATTCAAAGCATAACCAAAATTAAAGGCTAAAACACAACATTTTGCTTAATTAAGCTGATTACAAACACAGCTCTAAAAATGACATTAAAAAGCATTTTAGAAGAACTATTACAGGTGCTGGTGAGATGGCTCAGTGGTCTAAAGCACCTATTTAGAACAAGCTTAGCAAAGCACAGGGACCGTGGTTCAATCCCCAGCACCACATGCCAGCCAGCCCCGCCCCCTGGTGGGCTGAGCTGGCCACACACAGTCACACACAAATAAATAAATAAATAAATAAATTTAAAAAAAAAAGAACTATTACAATCACAGTCCTTGTTTCCCATTAACTTTTAACAAGGCATAGCAGGACTGAAAAATGGGGATCTCCTGCAATTCAAATACACCCTTGTCTTTAGGTGACAAGCTTCAGTTTACTTGCCTATTGTCCTGTTCGTAATAACTATGTTCTCCTCTATCTATTTCATCCTTGCAAACCAAATCAATGAAGAACTCCAGAAACCCACCCCATGACTGAATGAGGCTTTGGGGGGACATCTAGACACAAATCATAACATAGACCTACAGGATTCTCCCAACGCTATACTTAGTCCAAGCTGAGTACACCAAATTCAGATAAAATCTGTCTCAACTGCCTGAGGAAGACAGGATATTTCATGGGCCCAAGTAATATCTAAAAGCACAAAGGAGCTCAGGGTAGAAGACTCTGTACTTCAGGCCAGACTCCTAGGGACAGATGCACTACTTCTGGCCTCCCAGAAACAGATTCAGCACACAGCAGCTTGTCCACATCATGAGCCCTTTAAAGTGAATGCAGAAGAATAAACTCAGCCAGGTGTTGAGGCACATGCCTTGAATCCTAGCATTTGGGAGGCTGAAGCAAAAGGTCAAAGCCAACCTGGGCTATACATCAACTGCACTCACCACTGACTGCCTGGACTACAGAGACTCATCTTGAAAAAGAAAAAAGAAAAGGAGGGAAAGGAAAGGCAGGAAGAAGAAACGAGGAAGAAAAATGAGAGTTGGAGGAGGGGTGTGGGAGAGAAAGAGGAAGAAACCCAGTAATGGGAGCAATTCCTAGATTAAAAATTCACACAAGTATACAAAGGGATAAGAAAGAAAGACATGCTAAGCTAGGGTAAGTGAGAGGGCTGCAGGACAAAAGTGACAACCTGAACAGCAGGAGGGAGGCAAGGTACCAAAGAGTTAAATGATATTAGGAAAACAATGCTGCACCTGTCCTCTGCATGCCTGACTCCTATGCATGCCGCATAGTGCTACCACAACAGAAACACCAAAATGACACCCAGGATTTGGAGGCAGATTCATTTAACATCAAGTGGCCACTGACTAGGAATCAATGAAATTGTTCCTCAAAATATAAGGCCGCAAAGGCCCCCGGGAAGGAGGTTTTTATGGAGTTTGAAGCAAGAAGCACAGTACTTGGCTGTCTTTGGTTGGTTCTTACATTATGCATCACAGTGAGCAGCCAAGTCACAGTGACCAGCCTTTTCTGGAGACAAAAGCAACCAGAACTGCAACAGGAACTACCACCTGGACAAGTGAAGTACACTGGGGGAGGAGGGTATTTTCTGCTACATTTCCTCTCTTCAACAAATCTTTGCTGTGCATATTACAGCCTTTGAAACAAGGCCCAATTATAAGCAATCACACTGGGGCTATCAGTGTTCCTAGGATGGACCCTAGCCAAGGTCCCCAAGATTATCTTATTCAGAGTTTTTCCATAAGTGCTTTTAGGAAGAGACATAATGTAGGCCTGTCTGTCCTGTAACATTACTGTGACAAGGTAGGGAGGGGTTAATCTCATCTAGGAGAGTGCCCAGTGTGCCTTGGATGCTCATCAAATCTTGGTCAAGTGCTTGATTGATTGTTCTATTCTTTTGGGGCAACCGCCCATAGAGTTTAAGGCAAAAAAAACAGCTAGCAGGGGTTGGAGAAGCAAGGACTGGTGAAAGTAGCCCGAAAAGACACAAAATCAAGAGGAACAGGTATGGAGCAATCCTCTCAACAGTGTCCTCAAGTTTCAGCCATACATGGACTGGTCAGCGTCCAGAGTAACCAGAGCAGGGTTTGCATCTTCTCATTAGAGTGAGCTGTATGGCCCAGGTAAATTCTCCAGCTACTAATTGTTGTCTTGTTTTTTTGGCAGAACCGGGGATTGAACTCAGGCCCTTGCACTTGCCAAGGTAAGTACTTATGCTACTGAGCTATCTCCCCAGCACCCCCAGCAACTAATTGGATGGGCTCTTTTAACTCGAGAATGGTGGCTTCCAGGCTGGATTTCTGAAGCTTGTAGAGATAGTTAATGCGCACCTACATTGTGTGTGTGCAGGAGTGTCTACAGGTATAGCCGGACTTTTGGTTAAACTCTATGGTGCTGGTTACAAGCTATTCCTGTAGGGTTATATTTTATTTTTTCATCTTTTTTAGAGCTTATGACTTGCATGCTGTATGTAGTTCTTAGTTAACTCTCCTACAAATGCAGGCCTGTTATCACGGCCAATGGTCAAGGGTAGGCCATATCCAGGGATGAGTTTTCAGAGCAGAACTCTATAAACTTCTATTGCCTTTTCAGCTCAGACAGGGAATGCCTCAGGACAGCCCAAATAAGTGTAGGTGGGCATAAGGCTATCTGTATGTCCAGGTGTAAGTGAGGGATGATGACACAGATGCTAAAGCCTGAGCTGGCTACAGGGCTACAGATGCCAGTGCTGAGACCTGATCCTGCAGAACACAAGGTAGGGGCAGGCCTGGCTCTGATCTTCCAAGAGTACCAGGTAAGGTTTTTCTGGCTGGAGCTGATGTTTCAGA